TCTACCTTAACCCTACCCACTCTTCCGCCGCCACCCTACCCACATGTTATCTACCCAAAATTCCCCAATATAGGAAGGATTGATCTATTGACCACCGTCTGCTACACCTATGGCCATCCAAGAGATAGATGATGGTGTCACTCATCGCCGTATCCCACGATGACCATTGTCTTCTTCACTTGCTATGGTGAGTCTTCCACCTCTAGAATCAACAACCTTTTTTGAAAAGCACCACTTGGTAAGGCCTTCACAGGAGGCCAGGTGCGGGATGGAGGATCGAACCCCCACCGGCCAGCTCCTCCCTTGGAGCCTTCACCACTGGTCCAAGCCCATCGAAATCCAATATCTTGTTTTCCTACAATCCTTTAATTTCTCATGCTCCACCAGATCAAAGCTAGAAACACCATATCCCTTTTGTTGTGCCCCCATCTTGATCCAAACTCTTTGTTATGTAGCACCTTTGCTTCCTCTGCACTCCCTTGGACCCAAGATAGCTATATTGTTATCGATGGTGTTGAACCTTGATCTAAATTTTAGTCCTCTCTAGCTTTAATTGTCTATACACTTACACTGATCCAAGCTTGTGACGTTATTTTCATTGATGTTCGCCTTGATTTAGAATTTCATTCCCCCCAATCACTCTTTGTTGTCTTTACACCACCAAATCCAAGGCACCAACATCATTGCTAGAGATATGTAGACTTATTCTTCCTTATTTGGGAAAACAAATCTTGCGGTAGATAAATAGAAATATCTTAAATTCAGTAAATTATGTATGCTAATAAATTTCTCTTCCTATCTAATATATGCAGGGAGAGTTGTGCATGTAGAAAAGTTTGAAACATGTGGTAGAAGTTGCTAGATATAAAGCTATTGGAGCTACATATGCTGCAAGAGAGTATCCTTCAAGTATTTAGAACCTGATTCAACTTATGAAGGACGCCATACAAGGTATCTTAAGTGGAGTTCATATCATAAAGTGTGTAAATTTTGGAAAACATGAATGTTAGAAGTTAGATTCGAAGATAATAATGGGACCGCATACCTTGCCTACGAAAGGTATCCTTTCGTAAGGGGAGTCAGGTTCAAAATACTTGAAGAACAACTCCCCCTTGCTTTCAACTCCACTAGTGGACATGTTTGATGGTGCTTGATATCCATGAGTGTCCATCCAGTTTAACGCACTATACTGGTTATCCTTATTGAATCTTCCATCATATAACATGCTGCAACCATTATTCTATAAATGATCATGTAATCAACATCAGTACTTTAATATTTCCTTTTTTCAATTATGTACAAAAGTTTTATGCAGATACTAGTACATGTATACTCGTGCGCACATTTGTGAAGTAGGAACATTTGTCATGTTGGTGTACAATTGAATTGCCGAAAGATATGGCACGAAGTATTGGACCACTGTCTCACCCGGAGCGATGCACATTGAAGTACCAACACCACAGGCGCTCCACTCATAGAACCTATTCCAAAGATCTCCAAGGTAGAAAGCTTTGACTCCATCTGCAATCTTTTCATAATAGCCATTTGACTGCAATTACAAATAAGAGTTCGATTTGTTTAGCTATCATGTATTTAGATAAAAAAAAGATGCATCATATCCCGTCCCTCATAAAAAAGAAAAATCATTGGATTTCGTAGCTCTAGTGAATCATTGTACATGAGAGTATGTGAACACAAAGGTAAGCAAATGTCCTTGCTAATGGATTTTTTGCCCGTGATAATAATTTGAGAATGTGTGTGTTGTTGGGGTGGGGTGGAGGGTGAATCAATTCTAGCCAATCCCTATTTTGGAAGTTTCTATTAATTATGTAAGCAAGAAACATGTTTTTTTATTTGTTAGGTGGGTGGTTCTTTTTTTTGGGGGGGGGTAGGTGGGAAGTAGTGGTTTGAAAAATTGACTTGTACTGTATAGTCAATCTAGAAGAGATTCTGATTATTACTTACTATCACTTTTGTTCCCCCTATTGAACAAAAGAGGTTGTGAGGTATTAGCTCCTTTGTGTTGGCATCTACCTATAGTATGGTCTAAGGGTTAGTTTTGGCATGAGGATTTTTTTTGTGAGAAGGGGGAAAATATATTTTAGCTAGAAAAAGAAAACAAAAGCACTAAATCTGGAAGAAAATTCTTAGGATTTACAAAAACTAGGGTTCTAATCATAACTGTTAATTCAAATTATTGCACAACTAACCGTTTGCAAATGGTCCACAACATGATACCCTCATAACGGATAGTAACCACCCCGCAAATATACTTTGCGCCTAAAACATTTTGAACCTAAACTTTAGATACAAATCAGAGACGACACTGGCAAGCCCACGAGGTAACATAAACAAAAACTAGCATATAGCATAAATAAGAGCACATAGTCTCGCCATGGGGAATAGTTTGCGCCCTTACAAGTCCATAGGCACAAAAATCTAATTTTATCCACAGTCCTTGCACGGCATAGCCAAGATCAAACGAAAGAGGCAATATATCCGGACCGAATCATAGAAAGTAGAGGAAAGGGAATCCGAAATCCAGTAAAACCACAATCTCACAAGATGTGAAGAGGATAGATTGGTCAAAGCAAAATTTTAGAAGCTAGTTCAAGATGTGCTTATCAATGGAAGGTAGGACGCCCTAGGGACCGTGTGCGCCTTTACCACCGGCGTAACACTGTCAAGAAAAGTCCTCAGATTGGAGTGGGTCCCCGTCGCCCCGTCAACGGCAGCAGCATTAGCTTCCTCATGGGTGCTCGCACTCGCACCGGAGCTCCGGTGCCTCTCTCTCTCTATTCGTGCCCGAAATTGCCCTAGCTAAAGTGCCTCTGGTCCAGCTTTTGGCCCTGTTCGGCAGGACTGAAAAATAAGCCAAAATACTGTTCTGACTGATTGTTGTAAGGGAAAAATATTGTTCTGTCTGAAAACACTGTTCATGTGAACAGTGCCACTGTGAGAGCTCTGGCCAGCCAGCCGAACGCGGTGTTTGCATCTGCAGGCTTCAGGCTTCAGTTCAGAGGGGAGTGGAGGGGCTAAAGCTACGCCGAACGGAGATGTGGGCTCAGTTTTTTTTTCAGGGGTGAAGGAGCATTTTTGCGAATGCCATCAATGTTTTCCAAGCGAATTGTGCTATATCTGCCCACTCCAAGGATGTGCTAGATCTTAATTACCTGCCAACTTTATGCCCTTTACCTATTGGTTTCAGTGGCTTTGGCCATGTCAGTTGGAGCCTTGGAGATATTGCTGAAGTGGATTTTTTTTGGCATTTCTTTCTTCCAAATTTAGTTTTTGCATTTTATCATTTTCTGCAACGAGGAGGCGTGACCACTGTCTTTGTCGACATATACGTGCAGTAGCTCCAAACGCTCCACTGGAGCTAAGAGCTTAAGGCTATAAGCCATGATCTTCTCTTTTTTCTTTTTAACCAAGAAAAAAATGTGACATGGCTAAGGACCACGACACTGGATGAGTACGTGCTTTGTTGTTCGCGTGACTTGCGTGTCTTGTGTTCGTGATACGTGAACAGAACCGAAAGTAAAATGCGTCAAGCTTGAAGGAGAGTGCTTGTACGGATACGCCGCCTGATCGCCGCGCATGGCTTGCTTTTCCTTTTGTTTCCTTTCTCTTTTTTTTTCCTTTTCTTTTTGAGAGCCATGGCTTGGTTTTCTCAGTTGTTTTCTAAAACTGTTTGAGCACATATACCAACCCCTTAGCTTTCTGATGTATCTACGTGGTTTATTCCTCACTAAATATACAAAGTCATTATTTTATTCTTATTAGTTACTCGCTGGGTCCTATTTAATAATATATCTAGAGATTTTAAAATGTATTATTAATAAATAATATAAAAGACGCATGTACCCATACTGTATTTACTGATCAAACACTATCATCAGCGTGACTAATAGAATTAGTTGATAAATGGCAAGTAATCTACTATTTATGCAACTATTTAGTACAAACTATTCTTCTATCTCTAAAATACCTTGTATTTTGATGCGTTTTTAAAATGCTTGAATATAATATAATACAATATGGAGTACCACAAAATGGTATTCTGAACTATTATGTAGTATATAGTAGAAACGCTAATATGCTATCTTCTATTGATTCAAGTAACTCGAGGATAGAGAGATGCGTCAATAGAAGTAGCGAAGGAACTAGGAAGCTTCCTACTCATACACGTTGTGTGAACAAGTGGGACTGTAGATGTTGCTATCCGCACTGCATCCGCAGGCGGTGAGAGCAGAGATAGAAATACATTTTTAAATAAAAAAAATAAAAAAAAGGAGAGCTAGACATATATCTACAAAGGGCTAAGTACTAACGGGTAAATAATCTATTACTAGCTCTTTGTCTTACGACGAGCAAACACAAAGATAAGAATCCCATCATATACTATTATCCTCATCTAATTTGACCAATATTCGGAAAAAATAACTTTATGAAACCTCGGCGTTGACTGCTGCGGCGCTGAACCCAGGCTCCATATGTTTTGAAATCCGTGAACATTTTTTAAGAAAAAAAAGAGCCAAAAAAAAAAAAAAAAAAATCGGTCGGGAAGAGGCAGAGGAGTGCCGGCTCAGCCCACAGCCCACGGCGCACGGTCCAGCAGCGTCCGCAGGTGCTCGGTCGAGGAGGACTGAGGCCAGAGCCCGCACATCCGAAGCGGCCTCTCGCTCGGGGGGCTTGGCAGATGGACCGATTCCAACCTTCTCAAACCAGACATGAACTCTGTCAGTTTGGGGCCGGCATGGGCTGGCCCGCTAGTCGCTAGCCCCGACTCGCGGCTGCGGCCTGCGGCGCTGCGCTCGGCCCGCTCCGGCGCTCCCATCCAATCACGGATCCACCGTGCAGCTGAGCTCTCGATTCCGCGGCCTGTGTACTGCAACTCTTCTGCAAGGAAAATATCCTCCGCCGCCTCGGGCTGCGAGGCAAGGAATTGCAGACCGTCTCGAATGGTCGAACACTGGTTTGGAGGCGTTTGCTCGCTATCCATGGCGACTTCTACGGCTGCTGCCACTGCTCTGCTCCGCTCCAGCCCGGCAGTTCCAGCCAAGGTAAAGCCGTACAGCATCAAGCTTAGAACAGGAACCCTCGTGTACTTCCCCACGAGGTTAACTGTCGCGTGTGGTTGGCGCAGCGGAGGTGTCTCCATGCGGTTGCTGGGCGGACGACGACGAGAAGGAGGGGAGCTGCAGGGGTCATGCGAGCTTGCTTCAACCCTCTCGGGGACGAGCGCATCCTCCGAGAAGCCATCAAGGTAAAATTTCTCCACCTCTGTCCAGTCCTTTTCTTAACCCAGGATTGGGGATTGCTCCAATCTGTTCATTGTATACGTAGTTTCTTGTGTGGATATGTGAAATTGGCCATTCAATCCGACTGGACGCTTGCAAAGTTTATCCTGGAAAGGGGGAGGGGGAGTTTATGCAACAGTCGAAAAATTCAGTGTTGTTTCAGTGTAGATTTACTCTTGATTAAGCTTTTCAGTGGCCATGCTTTAGGCGAAACTAACGAAATTGAAACCTAGACTTGATATTTAGGCGTACTGTTTCATACTTCACTGTCATTTGGTTCTCCCAATCTCATCAACTTTGGGAATCAGAATGCTTTGTGGAAAGGGTAATTGCAGAGTTGGTTTAAGGAAGACTAGCTATTCATCAAACAATACTAATACGTTCTCCAGTCTAGAATTTACTTTTCTTGCTCGTCGACGCAAGAACAGATGATGATATTCTAAATGCACTGTCTGTAGGAGCCAGTAGCATTCATGGGTGGTGTGTTTGCTGGCCTCTTGAGGCTTGACCTGAATGAGGATCCTCTCAAGGAATGGATAACTCGTACAGTGGAGGCTTCTGGAATAGCTGAGGAAAACAGCTCTGAAGAATCAAGTGAGGCAGATCAAAATGATGCACCTCAGCAAATTGAGATTGAGTGAGGTGCATTGTCTACCTTTTGTCCACTTGACACTTTTCCCTTTGTAACTTATCCTGAATATCTGGGATACCTGAGTCATCACGTGCTTGCTTAAATTTTGTTTGGGCTTATATTGTTCTTAGGTCAAATATTGGATCAGCATTGGTAATATCAAACATTGGGCCCTGGTTTTGTTCTACCGCTCCTGTTTCATAATATGAAGCCCCAGTCCTCTAGACATGGTTTGGTAGGGCTAGCTATCCTACCGGAATTGCTGCGGAGGTTGTATGGGTGGAAGAGAGGAAGTCGAGGTCCTGGAACTCGTCGGTGGCGTGTGGGCGCCGTGGTGTTCACGACGCTAGGGCTGGAGTCGAGAGGAGAGCGGCTAGGGCTCCCAAGGGAAGCCGGCAACTTTAATTGTTGCTTCTGCTTAACTTTCTCAATAATTGTTTACACAATATATATATTGCAGCCCATCTAATCCAGGCGTCCTTGTAACTCCTGTGCGCCGGCGCCTGGTGTATCATCTTGTGCACATGTGTGTTAGCATATTTTCACAAATGTTTTTAAGGGTGTTAGCACTCCACTAGATCCTAAATGCATATGCAATGAGTTAGAGCATCTAGTGGCACTTTGATAACCACATTTCAATACGAGTTTCACCCCTCTTAATAGTACGGCTATCGATCCTAAATATGATCACACTTACTAAGTGTCTCGATCACCAAAACAAAATGGCTCCTACCATTTATACATTTGTCTTGAGCCTTTTGTTTCTCTTTCTTCTTTTCAAGTTCAAGTACTTGATCATCACCATGGCATCACCATCATCATGTCATGATCTTTATTTGCATCACCACTTGGAATGTGCTACCTATCTCATGATCACTTTGATAAACTAGGTTAACACATAGGGTTTCATCAATTCATCAAAACCAAACTAGAGCTTTCACCCCTTCAGGCCATTCTCCTTGAGGATGTGGACGGCGGCGATGTGGTCCCAGATCTTCTTCTTCTTCTTGTCTTTCTTCGGGACGTCCACTTTCTCCATGACTCCGGGGCCTCTTCGATCAGGCGACCGGTGAACTCCGGCAGAGGGGTGGCGGCGTCGTTCTTGAGGTAGAACTACTACGAGTGCCACCCCTTGTTGGACACCGAGAGCCGTAGGGCGGGTACTCGCCGACACGATTGTTCTGGAGCTGGAGCCAACGTACCCCATCGGCATATGCAGCTCATGTCTGCCGCTCTTCTCCCTCTTCTTCTATAGGGTGACAACGAAGAAGTACCTCCACAGATTGAAGTGGCGGCTGATCCCCAGGAACCCCTCGCACAGGGCAACGAACGCCGCCATGTGCTGGATCCTATTGGGGTTGAGATGCTGCAGCTCGATCTTGTAATAATGCAGCAGCCCCCGAAGAAATTTGTGGGCGGGGGTCGTGAACCCACGCTCATGGAAGTGGATGAACGACACCACATAGACGTCGGGCGGCGATGGCAGATCCTCCTCACCGGACAGCAGCCACTCCTCGCCCGAGCTCCGTGTGCGGAGAAGACCGCGATGGACGAGGCCTTCCATGCGCTGGAAGGTGATGTCAGAGCGGCACCACGGATCCATTAGAGGTGGGGGCAGACGGATGCGAGCTCGACGTCGATGGGGATGCGGAGGCAGGAAACCTAACTGATTGGCGGCGGCGGTCGTGGCTGTGGAGGCAAGTATGCAAGGTATGGAACCCTGGGGGCGAACCCTTTGGTTTTATAGGGGCGACGGGTGCGAGGAAACCAACTGCGCGCCTAGATCTTTGCGCCTGCCACGATATGCCACCATGTCTCGCCGTGGGACACGCACACGCAATCTCCGTCCGTTCCCTCGGAAAACTCGCCGGACATTTCGCCTCTTCGGACGGGCCATGACTCGTCATGAGTAAGAGGAATACGGATCTAAAAGCGCCTTTACAGCCTGACTAGGCCCAGGAGTTCGCAGGTTGGCCCATCGACGGGTTCGACAACCGTTTCGGGCGCCTTTAGGGTGAGAGGTGGAAAGGGATGGGCCTGCTAGCGGCCAATACCCGGGTGCATAAGCACCGCGGGCATCCTGGCCCATGTTTGAGTCTTGGCCGGTTACGATCTATGGTTTTCTTTCGAAGAAAGGTACTTAGCCCTCGGGACCGGTCGAACGAACCCGAGAACTATATGGATTAACCGCTGAGAATCTGGGGTCAGTCACCAAACTGACCCAAGCAGGATACCCACGAACGGGATGCTGGGGGCTCCACTCAACTAGCCCATTAACAACTCATCGGGTGCCATAATTCATCCTTAAAGGAAAATCGTGGCACGGCTCAGCCCCTTCGTTTTATAGGAAAAAACGCTTGAGGGAAGACAATCGCAAAGACGAACCGATCCTCGACCGGGCCTCTGCTACGGGAGGGGGCTCGAGGAAAGGGAATCACTGCCCCCAGGTCACGCTGTGGGCAACAAAAGAAGGCCGAGGCCTTTAGAGTTCTCCCGTTCAGAAAAGCCTCCGAAGGAGTATTCTACTGCTCCGTAGGCTCGGGGGCTACTGTCGGGGACCAATACTGGGGTACCCGAAGAGGATGAGCTAATAACCATCAACATTGATTCATCCGAGTAGTCAAGAGCGCGACTACAGCTCCAACTGACCCCCAGGTACGCAAGCTCCACCTCGCCCGACCTCTGAGGGCGGGCTCCGCCTCGACCGACCCCGAGGCCGGAGGATCCGTCTTACCCGACGAAGACCCATACCGCCAACCACTCCAGGTCTAAGCGAATGGGCCTAGGTCAAAGCTTTGACACCAGAGAGGTAACCGGCACTCCCCGATATAACCCGTGACAGTGACGGGCCATACCTAAAGATTCACATCAGGAACAACGTCGGGCGTACTGGTGCTGTTCTGCCTAACCCTCGTACGAACACTGACAGGCACGTCAGTTCACCACGACGTCCGCCAGGACGGAGTGGAGCGCCACGACCGGGAGACGACGCCTGCGCATGGCGCCAATGACGGACAGGGCCGCGATGTGGAGCGGTCCCTATTGACGTCTACAGGGTCGGCGGAACCCACGTGAAGGAAAAGGACCCGACGATCCTAGGGGACTTCTTCTCCTTCTCATTCTCCTCTTTTTCCTCCATGGTAAACCGTGCTTTCCCTTGGTCTATAAAAGGAAAAGCAGGGCGTCCCATGAAGGGAACTTGAACGCATTGGAACACATCGCCTCAATTGGGACTCGAACCCATCGAACCCCGAACCGATCAGAACACACAAGCACACAGCCGGGAAGCGACCGAGCTCTCGGCACCCATTCGCTCCTCTCATCAGAGACTTGGGATCCGTCCCTCTCTCGATCGTTTGTAACCCCTACTGTGAACTTTTAGTGCTAGAAACACGAGCAGCAGCAACGAACTGGACGTAGGGACATTCTGTCCGAACCAGTATAAACTTCGTGTCCTCTTAGCATACCATCCGAGCCAGACACGCAATATTAGAAATTTACTAGTCGATGGTAACTCGAAACATCGACAGAGGTAAAGCCCGCAATTTTACAAATTTAGGTTAAGGGAGGATAATCTGTTAAGCAGTCCTCTTTTGTGTTACTTGTGCGAGAAAGGTATCACTTCGTATGAGGTTGGCGGATCTGTCTTGCCTCCTGCTTTCTTGTTTCTGGGATACTCTTTGCATCCCCTTTTCTTGCAATGATAAATATTACCCATCTCATTCTCTTCCTCACATGCCTTTGTGTATGCATCTGGACAGCTCGCCACATTTCCCTCAATAACATGCTCTTTGATTTCTCTTGTCGCTGATTCATTTGGAAATACATCAATGGTTTTGACACATTTGCAGGAATGTTTGGCACTACATACAGTACAGGCATGATTCCAAGATACATCTTTGACCAGACTTTGCTTGTGGTATAAAGATAGGCCCTGTTCGCTTCGTTGAAAAGTCATGACTGAAAGTACTGTTCGCCGATTTATTATGAGAGAAAAACGTTATTCGTTCGTTAAAATTGTAGGGCTCATAAGACAAACGAACATGCCTAAGCCATTAAGGTACCTTCCAAGACAAATTTTCGACCATTTTCATGTGTCCAGTGTACTTAATTCAGGTTAAACCCTGTGTAGTAGTGTGCTACAGCACCTGTTATTCGGTTGTTAGGTTCTGTTTGGCTTGCTGAATTTTAAGACTGAAATTAATTGAAAAACACTGTTCTGGTTGAAATGTTGTGAGAGAGAAATATTGTTTTGGTTGGAAAAAAAAAACCAAATATAGGATAAGCCGAACGTGGCTAGCGATGTCCTACAGAGAGTTCGTGTTGTTGGAAGACCTGGACATTTATTCCGCTCCTTAATGGGAAATACACGATCTCCTGCGTATTCACGAGAAAAGGTGTCCAGTCTATTAAATTCTCAATAAGATATTAATATTCATTTTTGTGATTTGATTGATTACATGTGACACTCTCTTCTCTCTTCTGTGATCGGAGAGGGGTAGAAAAACACTGTATCAGGATACGATTAAGCGAACAGATGGGTACCGTGTGTACTGACCAAGACTGATCAGGTACAGTACAGTACAGTGGAGTCTGTTCTGTTCTGTGTATGTCGGGGGATTATTGTGCCATGTCTGATGCCTTGTGAGGTGATATATGAAGGTTGGGCAGATTTCTCTTGATGCATGGTGCCCCACATGCAACTCACTGATAAAAAGCTTGTTTAATTAGTCGGTGGATTTTCCTTTTTCCATTGGAAGGTCTGCGTATTAATCCACAGTTGAGTGTGAACTTTGACGAACTCTGAACCGAGTATTTTTCTCTACCTGCACGAGTCATTAATCGTTGCAGTTAGGTCTGTTCTTTCCTTCCTCTCAACCTTGCACGCTGGATCAGGCTGTTATGCGGTGCTTTCCAACTAACCCAATTATGGACACGGATGCAGCAGGAACGGCTATCAGAGTATCCTTCGCCTGTAAGTCTCGAGCTCCAACTTGAGAGGCGAGCTGT